GATTATTAGTAAGCTATTTTCCTAAACTAATTACAAATAACTGGAATAGTTCTGGAGTATAAAATATATATAACACTTTGGAAAATGCTCATATATTAGGAGTAAAATATGATTAGTATCTGATTATTTTCGGAATATGTTCAAAAAACAGGAATATTTCTGGAGTATAATTTAGTTAATAAACTGGATTATTTTTGGAATATTTTTTGAATATTTCTAGTATAATAAACTGGAATATTTTCAGAATATAATAATATATTTTTTTTTATAGGGCTTTACTCTGATACATCATTCATAGATGATTATGGTTCTTTTAGTACTGAAGTAATAGAGATGTCTCATAAAAAATTCAATGATACTAAAGTAAAATTCAATAAAACTTTTTATACAGATGAAAATATCATTACAAATTCTTTAATCGCATTTAATAAATTTGGTAAAAAAATATCTGATGATCTTCCAAAAGCATTTAAATTAAGATTATATGGATTTTTTACTCAAATAGATATGATTATAATATTAAATGCTAGTAAAGAAGGTATAACAATTGACTCTGATAATGATAGAAATATATATGAACTACCTAGTAATTTTATAGTAACTTTGTGTTTCTTAAACGAAAAAAAAAGAGGAGATCCTAACATGAAAGAAACTGAAGATAATTTTGCTTTCATGAGAAATAACCTTGAACTCGGTGATATCTTTAAAAAGGGCACAACTAGATTTGATAACACTAATGATAATATAAGATCACGAATAAATCAAGATAACTGGGAATTTATGCTTGCTCAAGATATACCTGTTAATGTAGAAGAATTATCAAAAAATATTAAACCTGATAAACTATTATGGTATAATTTTAGTATAAAACTTTACCATAGTCATGTAAATACAAAACAAAAATCTGAATCACAAAGAATGCTATACGGTTTAAAAACTGTAGATAAGGAAAAAAATTTAATAATTTACTGTTATAATAAAGAACTTGTAACTAGTTCTAAAGGAGAACAGAGTTACATAGTTGGGTATCAACCAAATGTTATCTGAGTTTTGACTATAACATTTAATCCAGATACAATGAGAAAAAATATAGAAAATAGTCTAAGATTACCAAATATGGAATATAATAATGATATAACATTTCTTGGAAAAAAACTGTTATTTCCAACTCATCCAGAACCTTTTCTTCTTGTTAATAAAATCATACCTTTCATGGCTTATGAAACTAATATAGATAGTATAGCAAATCTCAAACAAGCAAGTGGAACAGCATTACAACAATTAGTAGAAGCTATTAAAGAAGCTATAAAAAATCCTGATATTAATAGTAATGATGGTAAAGATCCTTTTGATATTTCTTTTGATTTTGGTTATAGTTCTTCTACTAAATAATATAGAATTTAACTATAAATAGAATACGTGTAATTTTTTATTGTATAAAAAAAAATAGATTTTTTATTTGATTAGAAAAATATTTTATCATATTACAATAAAAAAATAAATGAAAAAACAAAACTTGTTGATTTACAACCTAGTAGTAATCTATATAATCAAATACGAAATGATACAAGATTAGGACCTTGGCAAATAAAAGAATTAAATGATAACATTAAACAAAAAAGAAATAAACTAATCGAAAATTTTATTTCTTATATTAAAAATGAAAAAGATAAAGATAAAATTAAAAAATATATTAAATCACTAAAAAATATAAATATTTTTTTCATAAAAAACAAGGAAGAATTTGATAAAAATCTTGATTCATTACAGGAAAAAATAAAAATAATAAATAATTCCAAGATAAATTCAAATTTATTAAATAATAACATCTCTATCATTTTTTACAAAAGAAAAAAAAGTCCTATCAAATTAAAACCTATACATATCTTATTCAATTTTTCAATTAAAAATTATATAAAATTAATAATTAATAGATATAAGAAAATAGTTGAAACAAATAATGAAACAATCAATCATCTTGAAAAAATAATATCATTTAATATTAAGAAATATCAAGAAAGCTTCTACATCAAATCTTGGAAATCTATAATTCATCACAATACATATAAAAAAAGAAACAAATCATATTATCTTAAAATTAAAAAATTAGATAAAAGAATTTTTTTAGAAATAGTTGATTTATTACTATCAATCATAAGAAATGATAATATTGTACTTTTCGATTTGTTACATTTAAAAATAGGTCTCATTTTTAATAATTTAACTATTTAAATATATAAATATGTCTTTTTTACTTGAATTTTAAATAAAATGAATTTTTATTTTTTAATCTTATTATTGATACAAAATATCTCTTCTCAAACTTACATGTGTATTCTATATAACACTAATGAAAACATTCTTCAATGTGTAAAATTAAATCTTTGCAATTATATGCAAAAACATATTAACACAATAGAAAGTCTGAATAATAATATTAGTAATATTGAATATTTTTATAAAATCATAAACAATCTAAACAATAATAATATTCAAAATAATAATTATGATACATACCAAGATCCAAATAATTACTATAATAACCTGAATAATTTTTACGATGAATATTGAATCAACATGTCATAAATGTATAATCTATAATGATCATACTAAAACAATCGAAGAATACATATCAAAAAATCTATCAAGCTGTCAATATCCAGAAGCTAAAAATAATTTAAATGGACTTTTCAATATCATATGGGATTATTATATTTCAGAATATAAACTAATGTCATCACCTATATACCTTCATAATGTTAACAAATACAGTGAATATGTAGATGATCAAAATTTTAAAAATAGAATATTTATAGAAAAAATATCATATAATAATTTTAAAAAAATGTTAGAAAATGATCAAAAAAATATTATAGATTATTGTGAAGCAGGAAAATATAAAAAAATGATTAATGATCATGAACAATTAAAAAAATATAATTTTGAATTACATACAATATGAAATAATATATGTAAAAAAATGAAAATAGGAATACATAACAAAGAATCTTTTTTTACTGAATTCATAAAAAATAATAAAAATCCAAATTATTTAATGTATAAAGGATTCGTATATAATTCTTTAAGAGATAAAAACATCATAAATGAATTAGGTGAAGAAAAAATCATGGAATTAGAAAAAAATTGTTTAGAAACTTTAGAAAACCTAACAATAAATTGGTTTGAATAGTGGAGATATTTACTAAATAATTCAAATAATTTAAATATCATTGACAATTATTGGATATTTAAAAGTGTTAAAAATTAAATGCAAAAACAAATGATAAAAATTTTTACAAAACAGTCAGATCCATGTTTATTAAGAATCTGATAAAATGCAATCAAGAACATGAAAATATATGCGTACCTGAAATAATCCAAAAAATTGAATCTGAAATCAATTGCCAAATATTAACTACAGATGGATTATATGATTCATTATTAAAAAATGAATATTTCATTAAATTGGTCAATCTTAGTATTGATGAAATAAATAAAATACACCATCATATAACAAAATGAAAAAACAAATTAAAAAAACCTTGCACAGTTGATTTTATCATTGATTGGTTTTTAACAAATAATAGATTTGAAAATTTCTTAAAAGATGGTATCTATAAACCTTTTTTTTGGAATGATTTAGAAATATCTGACAATGATAAAAAACTTATTGAAAATAAATGGATGCAAAATATGAACAGATAAATAAAATTAGAAGAAAAAACAAATATGAATCAATATATTGATAGATTATTGGATATATCACTTCTCTTAAAAAATAATCAACTCTATTTTCTAGAATCTTCTAATATATTCTCAGATTATTTAAATCATGAAAAAAAATTACATAAAAACTACATCGAAAATAATGGTCTTATTACAAGTTTAATTAAATTATCAAATATATCAGATGATGCTAAAAAAAAATTTGAAAATCAAAGATTGGAAATATTACATAGTGAATCTATAGAAGCTGAACTTAAACCTGAAATACCAAAACTACTATCATTTGATAAACTAAAAAAGGAAATAGAAAATATTAAAGAAAATAATGCAGAAAAATTAAAAGATTATGAAGAATTGGAAGATGAAATAAATAATTCAGGATTATCAAATAATAAAATTGAAGAATTATATAAATTAAGAAAAAATAGATTAGCTAAATTCGCAAATAATAAAATCAAACAATTAGAAAATAAAATTAAAATAGCAAAAACTATAGAGGATATAGATGATATATTTAATGAATTAATCTATGATAAAATATTACCAGCTGAAGAAAGGGATAACATCACAACACTATCTCAAAATAAATTAGAAGAAATCAGAGATATACTTATTAATGAAATTAAAAAGGAAATTGAAAAAAGCAATGATGCAAAACAATTACTCGATAAAAAACTAGATGAAAAAATTAAAAAATTAAATTTATCAGAAGATGATACCAAAAAATTAGAAAAAATACTAAATGATAAAATATTTTCTATTATTAAAAAAATAAATGATGGATTCTTAAATAAAATAAAAAAACTACAAACTAAAAAAGACCTAGATAATTTGAAAAAAATAGTAACAAAACATGAATTATTATCTAACAAACAGAAAGAAATTATCAAAAATAATATAGATCAAAAAATAACAGAAATCAAAAAAGATTCACAACCAGAAACTCCTAATCCTAATGAAGAAATACTCATTAAAGAAATAGAAAAAAACATAATAGAAATCAACAAAGATAATGTAGAAAAATTACTTGATGATAAAGATATAGATAAAAAAATTAAAAGTTTAAATTTATCATCTACTAATATTAAAAAATTACAAGAATCAAGAAAAAATAAATTATCAAAACTCAGAACTGAAATATATGACCAATATATCAATAAATTAAATACAGAAAAAAATATTATTCTATTAACTAATTTTAATAATAATATAATTAAAAATAAAGTTCTAACAAATAAACAAATTAATGATATATCTACATTAATAATAGAAAAAATAACTAAAATAAACGAAAATAATGAAATATATGATAAAATTAAAATAGATATTAATAGATTTCAGATACCTGACAATTTAGATGATTTTATCAAAAAAAACATTGATTCTTTTAATGAAGAATATCTATCTAACAATAGGGATAAATTATCATTAAACAAATATTATATGGAAAAATGAGAAAAATTAATTGAAGAATTAACAGAAAAGGAAAATAAATTTTATATAGAAATAATAAAAGCTATAGAAAATTGTAAAGAATCAAATCTACTAATAGATGAATATTACAATAGCATTTATCATAATATTGAAGAATTAAATGAAAATTATCTTGAAGATATAAATAGTAAATATATTTTACATCAAATGAGAAAGAATAGAAAAAAAGTATTAGAATTCGAACAAGAAAATATATAAATATCTTATTTGTATCATTATTCATAAATAAAAAATAATGTATAAAAAAGCGAATAGAAAAATTTTTTTAAAGAAAATAATATTCCTAATAATAATAAGGGTAAATGGTTATTTTCTGGTTTAACTATCACAGAATGTAAAATTGCAATAAACAACAGATGGAATGAATTTCAAATCATAAATAAATGTGTAGAATATCGTAATTTTAAAAAAATAAATATTATAGAAGTTAAAAAATCTGAATTAGATTCATCATTAGATATTCTCGAAAATATACTTGATGGTAATAAAACTACATTTAAATCCCTACCTGAAGATTATAAAAAAGACAAAATAGATAAATTAATTGATGATTTTTTACCACATGGTGCAAAACAAAATGATCTTAAAAAAGCAATATCTGATAAAAGAAATATTTTTAGATACAAAATTAATGAACCTAATAATAAATTTGATAATGATAGTTTAGATTCAAATAAATACGAAAAAATATTAAAATCTATTAATGAAACTGAGAAAATAGTATTTGATAAATGGAAAAATAAAGTAACCCCTGAATTTCTTAATAAATTCCTAGAAAAATTTATTAATAGATCTAAAGACAAAAATCTTGAAAATTGGTTAAGAGAAAATAAAATTGAAGAAGGTCAAAATAAATTGTTAGGTTATACATTACATGATAAACCAATAAAAAAAATAAGAGTTGCTGAGATTAGGGATAGAAAATTCACTGGAAACATCATCAATGATTTTGAAATATCAGGTGATGAAGTGGAAAAAATCAAAAATAATTTTGATAAATCATTATCTGGAACATATAAATTACCTTATATTTTTGATTTAATAGATTTTAATCCAGAAAAACTAAAAAATGTTGATGGTAGTTATAATTTAGATAATTTTGCTAAAATAAAAGAAGTTAGCATAAAAACAAAAATAGGTATCGTAAAAAGAAAAATAGTAGATGTTGATAGACCAGGAATTCTACCTATTTTAACTGGTAGTGGAAAAACAACTAAATTAGTAAGATGTTTGTTAATATGTATATTTCCTGGAAAACATATTATCTTGATTACATCTAATGAAGAATTAGCTGCTGATGCTAAAAATCATCATAATGGTTAGTTACAATATACTGATAGTATTCTATATAAATGTATCTTACATAGAAAAGAAGATGAATTATCTTACACAGTAAAAAATAGAAGTCTTGCTTCATGGATAAATAAGAATAAGGAAAGAACAGTAGTTGATAATGTTAATAGTGATATTTTTCAAATATCAGAAGAAGAAACTAGTAGTGGAGTTGGTAAATCAACATTATCTATTTTACAATTATACTATCTAGTCAGGTACATAGCATGTGAAAAGATGAATATTGATGAATTACACGATCTTCCCAATAGTCATGAAAATTTCGAACAAGCAAAAATTCAAATAAAAAAAAAATTATTAGATAAAGAAAATACTATAATCATATTTGATGAAGCTCATTTTCCAAATACAAGTTATCAAGTAATCCAACCATTGGTAATTAATAAGAGTTACAAAGTTTTAGTCATGAGTACTACTTTTCTAAATAAA